AAGGGGGGAGAGGAGGTGGAAAAACACTGGGGGCTGTTTTCTCCAAACAAGCAGCCTAAATATCATATCAACTTCAATAATATAACTATGAGGTGTACAATCAAGTATTCTCTCTCAGACACTTCTGCCGACAAGGTTGAATAAAAAGTTTTCCAAACAAAACATGTTGGTTAAAGAGACTGTTCAAACTTCAAAGCCATGAAATAAGAGAGGCTTCCTTCTCACAAAACCAGGCCTGGGAAAAGTTTACTTATTGTATTTTTTTTTTTTGAACAGCAAAGGATATATATATATATATATTATTAATCGGAGTACAAGGGGTACCCCAAACCCTTAACAAAAACTGATTGAGAAGCCTACAAAAACTGGGAAAAGTTTACTTATTGTATTGAATCGGGTTTGGGAAGATTGGACAAGGAATTGAGCTGGGCTGAGCAATTTAAGTTAAGTTGGGTTAGTCGATTGAATTGAATGACTAAAAATTAATTGGTAATATATTTACAAATATATATAAATTTATATTTTTTTATTATATATAAATCCTCATGGGTCCTCATGAGGCGCAAGAAATTTACGAGAAAAAAAGTATCTCCATACTTGTCCTATCGAGAGAAATATTCTTAAAATTTTCATCCTTGCGATGATCCCCATAATAAGGATTCCAGTGGACCTCCATGACTTTCGGAGAAAATTGTTGCCCCTAACCTTACATAGAAGTTTTGGTGGAAAAGTCTATTACTTCCTAACTACACACAAATTAAAATAGGATAAATATTGGCTATAGAATTTATCATTGTAAGGCTTAGAAAATAAATTAAATTAGTCTGTTGTTTTTCAGGTAGAAAAAAAGAAGCATAAACTGCAACCTGCAATTGGTAATATATTTACAAATATATATAAATTTATATTTTTTTATTATATATAAATCCTCATGGGTCCTCATGAGGCGGAAGAAATTTACAATAAAAAAAGTATCTCCATACTTGTCCTATCGAGAGAAATATTCTCAAAATTTTCATCCTTGCGATGATCCCCATAGTGAGGATTCCAGTGGACCTCCGTGACTTTCAGAGAAAATTGTTGCCCCTAACCTTACATAGAAGTATTGGTGAAAAAGTCTATTACTTCCTAACTACGCACAAATTAAAATGGGATAAATATTGGCTATAGAATTTATCATTGTAAGGCTTAGGAAATAAATTAAATTAGTTTGTTGTTTTTTAGGTAGAAAAAAAGAAGCCTAAACTGCAACCTGCAATTGGCAATTGTAATTTGCAATTTGCAGTTTACTTATTGTATTGAATTGGGTTTGGAAAG